CGGGCAGAGGAGGCGCTGGTCAGTCTGGGTGGGGCCAGGTACCGAACAGCTGCTGGGCGGGGCGCTTGCGGGGGGATCGCAGGGCCCCCACCGTGTCTCGGGCCTCGGTCAGGAGCCGCGGCCCCAGCCTCGGCTCCGCTCTCGGCTGGACGAAACATCTCGGGCACCTCTCACGCCTCAGAATCTCAAACAGCAAAGTCAAGGCGCCGTGCCTATCTCGTGAGTCAGTGCTAAGGATCACAGTGGGGTTGTGTGGATAAAAATACTTCGTGATGTACGTGGTGCTGAAACACACGCGGCCCCTCTTCTGGTCATTATAATGGATGTGACCCCTGGTTGACAGCCTCGTATCTCACTCCTCACACCTTCACAGCCAGTGTGGGTGGTGTGGCCTGCAGTACACATGGCCGAGGCCCACGGAGCCCCTGTGACACAGAGAGGCCTCTCCCTCCTTCAGAGCCCAGGGCCAAGTTACCTCTCGGGGTGGCAGGCCAGAGGGACTCTGCCATGGGCGCCCTGAGAGACAGGCTATGCCTACTGTCCTTCAGGATAAAGGACAGATGAGTGGTGAAGGTGTTATTCAGTGGGCACTGGTCACACAAAATTGGACACACATCTTGGCCCCCCACATTCATTGGCCCTGTGACTCTGGGTAAGTTCCTTAATCTGTAAGTTTCCGTTTCCCCAACTTAAAATGGGGACATTAATAGTACTTGCCTTTTAGAATTATGAGAATCAAATGCAACAGTATAATGTGTTTGGCATTTTAGCCTTCACAAAACAAATGATGAAAAGTGATGGCGATGACGGATGGGGTTTTTTAGAGGTGACAGGATAAAACATATGCGTAGGGCAGAGAAGTGTTAACAAGGTCCATGAAGGGCTCTAGAGGACCCTCTTCAGAGAGCCATGAAGGAGGCCTTCTGCACGTGGTGTCCCAGGTGTTCCCTTGCTTAGTGGGAAAGGGATGTTCACCAGCCCATAGAGAGATGTGGCAGGATAACCTGGAAAGGCAGAGATGCTATCCCATAATAACAGCCTTAGTTTCACCCTGCCTTCAGGTCCTGCCCCCTCACGCCCAGCACCACAGCTGCCCACCACGGCCACCTTCACCTGTGCCTGAAGCTCTCCCGATCCTCTTTGTTATACTCCATGGCTGAGGGCCCCCGGCTCGTCCCACTGCTGCCTCCTATGACACCTGACCAGTAGTCGGCGTTGCTCTCCAAGTCCCCAGACACAGGGAACGGCTTGCTTCGCATCTGATGGTAAGACTGGCGGAAACCACTGTCCTCTTCATGCAGAGAGCTGAGTTCTGAGATGGTGTTGTTATCTGCAGGGACAGAAACAGATACCTGTTAGGCAGAACAGGATCTCTGTTAAGGGCTGAGACTAGTGGCTCTGGGAAACTCCCACTGGAGGGCCTCAGTCCTGGCCAGGCTGGGCTGTAGACCTGAGCTAGTGGCACTTGTGTTCTTGGCTCAGCAGGAACTGGCTCCAGCTAGAAGCCCACTCGCCTACAGAGAAGGATGCTTCCTACATGCTCTGTTCTTAGAACAGGAGAACAATTGTTATTGTTCCACCTAAGGCAGGCTTCCCAGAACCTGGACTCTCTGCAGCTGGTCTCCTCCTAGTAACCATCATCCTTGCTCAAATGTTTTTCTTCTTCTTTAATTCTATGATAAGCCATGAGGATCCCAAGCACATTGAGCTAAAAGGGGCAAAAAGAGAGAGAAGCCATAGATCACAGTGCCTGCCCTATGTTGGCCAGGTCCTAGGGTGGGGCCTTCAGAGCCAGTACTGCCCCCAGCTTTAGAGGCCCCCAATTCCACCCTCCTGCAGCTGTGTCCCTCCCCATAGAGCAAGGAATCCACAGGACCAAAGGGATGTGCACACCTGGTGTCCATCCATCCCCTTTCTGGATCTCCATCCAGGAACCTGGAATATCTTCCCCTAAGGGTACCAAGTCCATTTCCAGGGCCTGAGTAGACCTCTTCTGCTCCCCAAAGAGTATTCCAGGTGTATGTGGCCATGGGTGGCCAGGACAGCTGTTTGGAGGTGTGGGAAGGAAACGGGGGGTGGGGGATGGGGGGTGGGAGGCTGCACTTAATGGCCTATGAGCCTCCGCTTGTACTCTTGCCCCAAAATGTAAAAGATGGCAATGGTCACAGCCATCTCATTTTCTAGGGTGACCTAAGTAGCTTTTTGCAAAAGCACTTCTGGATAAGGACCAGAATCACAATCTGGAAAGGGGGGAAAAAAAGAAAAAACAACTCTCTATTTATAAAACTTTGAAATGGATTGAATTTCACATTACTTAAAAAATAAATCTAGCAAATCTATTTGTGATGTAACTGAATCCATTTGTTTTCTAAAATCCTTTCAACTTCAAACTATTATTAAAATCAATATTTATAAGGGGTCAGGCCTGGCTGTTGAGTGAGAGGTGAACCAAGAGAAGATGTGGGCAGCGCAGATGTGTGCCCCAGGGCCCCCTCTCCCTCTTCTCTTCCCTGTGCCCAACAGTCCTTGGAGGAGCAGAGGATTTTTGCCGGTTCCCACCCAGGCAGAGGAGGAAGGGCCTCCTCCCACAGCAGAAACACAGCCTCCTTGTCCTGTTTCACCAGGACACAGAGCTGACCAGGAACACCATTCAGATTGGTCCTATGATCAGTTAGTTTTGAATTATAATCTAATTCTAAGCCTTTTCTTCCTCCTCAGGAGAATGGACTAATTAGTGCCTATTTTAAAGGAAAATAACTCAGATACTATTGATTAATGAAATCTAGAACCTTCCTTTTCTTGTGATCCCAGTGAATCCCAATCTCTTAGGAACCCGACAGAAGAGAACTTTAAAATGCACCAGGTGTGTTTATGGAAAAATTACATTTGGCTCAGAACCTTCCTTAAGCTTCAGGGAATAGTGGACACTTTTCATTTCTTTAGATAGCAGGGCCATCTCTGACCGTTTATATGATGGACTATCCAAGCTGTATGCAGCCCTAAAATTTCTGCCACAGTGGGAACATGAACATGGATGTCCCCCCCTTCACAGACACTGGGAAACCTTGTCTGTAAAGGGCCAGAAAGTCAGTATTGTAGGCTTTGCAAGGATGGCTGTCACAGCTATTCAACTGTGCCATTGCAACATGAAAGGAGTCACAGATAATACAGAAGTGGTTTGGCATGGCTGTGTTCCAAGATAATTTACTTACGAAAACAGGAGGTGGAACATTTGTAACCTGGGAGGTGTAGTTTGCTGGTCCCTGCACTGGGATTCCAGACCCAAACTTCCCAAGAGCAGCCCCCTACTTAGAAGGGACAGGCCAACGAGGATCACACTGGCCAGGAAATGCATGGGCCTGACCCTGAAACTCCCAGTTCTTGCAGAATCCGGTCCTCCCTTGCCACACCTGAAGCTCTGAGACTCACTTTCTGATGAGATCTTAAGACTGTCCCACGTCCATGGTCCACCCGAGGGTTTACTCTGTTCTTCAGGAACAGAACCTCTCCAAGAAAAGAGCACTAGGTTCCTACTTCATCTCTATGCAGTCACTGTAGTGTCAGCCTGCGGGATCCAGGCGCTCTGGGTTCCAGTCCTGTCGCTGGCACTGGCTACTTTCCCCCTCTGCCTCCCTTCCCTCCTCCATAAAATGAGGGAGGTGGATTCAACAACCTGAGGGTCTTCCCGCTCCCACATCCTAAGGTCCTAGGAGCTGGAAGGCTGTGGTCTCAGAGCAAAACCACCACTGCAGCGGGGGTGCCATCCACAGTGGGCTCAAAAGTTGCTAGCTTAACAGAAGAGCATTGGACAGGCATCAGAGGAGCTGGGTTCTAGTCCTGATTTTTGCCACTTCAACCCTCTGGGCTCCTGTTTCCTCCTCTGTACACTGCAAAGGTCGACCCAGACCATCTCTAAGTTCCTTGGTCATTACCTTCTGACCAGCCAGCCCTTAGAGACCACAGCAGATGGGAGACATCATGTGAAGCGGGATCCACTCTTTAGTTTTATCCCCAGTTTTGAACCTGTTCCCTGAGCTGTGAGATTCACAGGTTCCCTCCACAGGCTCTTTCTCCTTGATCCCTGACTGTCTCTGTCTCTGTCCCTTCCACGGATCCATGACAACACTGTTACAACCAGCTTGTCAAGTGCAGTGACATCTGCATTCCTGACATTCCAATCTGGAGATGGTCTTTTTATAGGCAGGGTGGTGGGAGGAGGCAGCAAGGGATACAACTCAGACAGGATGAATTTAGAACTGCAAACTGGGAGGAAGATGTTGTCCTTAATCTGAACAAAGCTCCTCTAGTCTGGGACTGTTTCCCCAACAATGCCATCCAGTCTCCCATTGGTTCCAAGGCGAGGAGGGTTCAAAGAGAGAAACATAGTGACCTCACAATCATGCCTGCCAGCATCCTCAGATAATTAGCCCATCCGTGTCAGACCTGCCCTGTGCTGCCTCTCACGACAGATGGTAATTTGGAAGCCACCCCAAAGAATCAGCTGTGTCAGCTGCAAAGTCTCCCAGGGCATGGGTGAGTTAAGGGTTGGGGCCCTGCCACCAACAGACTTAGTAATTAAAATGTTATTTTGACAAGAGGGACCGTCTCTCTGCTTGCCCCTCAGTCTTTGCTGCTGGGCATCTCAGAGGACGGCCGGCCGCCTTTTTACGAGATTCATCTGGCAGGCTTGCTCTTTCCCTTTCATTGATGCCGCCGGTCAGCGACTGGACTGTGGTTTGATGCTAGGGCCTTTGACATTGGGCTTCCGCATCTTAAGTCATTATTTTGAATATATTGTAAAGCAATTAGTGGGGAAAGGCTGTTTGAATAAACTATTTCTGACCCCAGGATTGTACAACCCCAGCAATACTGACTGCCCCGTGGAGAGACACAACAGCGACCAAGATGGTACATGACTGCTCTGTTCTTCACACCTGAAGCCCTTTTTCCTCCCCTCTGTGTACGCGAAGCTACTTTATTTAGGGTGCTGTCTCCAGCCCCCCTGCTAGTTCTGACCCCGAAAGCTCAGGGCTGCCCACGTTTGGTCGACCCCCAGCCCCCCTTTATCATGATGCACAGATCACATAAAACTAACAGATGCTCACATCTGCCTCTCATCCTCCTGGCTGGATCAAACTGAGCCAGCTCCTTCTCGACATAGTACAGGACCTTCATGGAGTCTCTTTCTTTGTCAGCTTGGATCCGGTAACCTTTGCGGACTGTTGAGAAAAGGACAGGAAGGTGAGCTGAAAAAAATCAGGAGGAGGCTTCCATTTATTTCACCAAGTAGAAAACATGATTGCCACTTATAACAACTCTTTTTGAAATCACCCAGAAATAGCCATCTCTATGTATATTATGTAGAGCCATACCCGAGAGCCCCTTTATCAGGTGGTTCCATTAGAATGGAGGATGACAAGTCAACAATAAAATTCTATTACAGAGTATTTTTAGTCATTTGTTCCCCCCTGCTTCCGATCTCCTGACCTCTTATAGCTCCACTTAAAGCTCATCTTCTCAAAGTTTGGGGGTGTATACTCACACTAAAAAAAAGGATGACTTTCTAGACTGAGGACACACATCATTTACTGCCTGAGGGTCACACCTGCACCTGGAGCACATGTAACTTTAAAACAGGGACTTGACACAGGTGGCCTGAAAGCCTCTAGTCACCAGGGAGATGGTGCAAAAATTCCGTAACTAGGTGATCCATAAGCGCTAGTATTAGATTATAGGCTTTATACACATTAGTACAAAATACAATGCAAAATACATGGATTACTAAGTATGGTTTCATTTTTATTTCTTTAGCATCTTCCTTTCAGGAAAGGGAAGATCGTATTTTAGACATGATTAATGCAACCTGCTGCTACACAGTTACAGGCAGGTGTTATTTTCAGGGCTTAATAAAAAACAAAATGAAAGCATGAGAGAGAATATCATCACTCATTCTGTCAGCGACAAAGGCAGTTGAAGCCCCATCTCACTTAAGCTTAGTCTAGTTCAATACCAGCCCCAAGGGTGATCGGACGTGGGCAGGTCTAATCTTCACAGAGAAAGAGAAAACAAGAAAGGAAGGAATGGGATGGGGACAGAACAATGAGGGTAACAGACAATACTCCCTGGGCAGTGAAATGTGCTAGGCACCGTGCTGAATGCTTTACGTGGACACCGGTTCCTTACAACTATGTAAGGAAGTTACTGTTAGAAGCCACATTTCATGGTTGAGGAAAGCTGGGTCTGGAGAGTTTTACAAATTGCTCAGGAATAAGTGGCAGCGCTGGGACTATGCAGTCTGACTGAAGCCGAGACGTACGGGCATCTTGCCTTTCTGGAGTCGAGGAGCAGAGGCAGCACAGAAAGATAGCTGAGGAAGACAAGGAAGAGCCCAGAGTAGGAGATGCTCATAGGAGTGCCACAGGTGGTATCAACTGGGGTACCGTCCTTCCTTCCAGCCCATCAGGACTGTACAGTGAGATGGAAGCAACCTCCAACCTTCTCTGTTCCCAGAGTAGGGCAAATACCATAAAGAAACCGCACAGCATGTGCCTCTGGAGAAAATCCTGCTTTCTGCTCTCTGGTCATGTTAACCTGGCTGTGGACAGAGCCGCCCACACAAGCATGTACATGGAAGATTAAAATAGCGTCTTCCAGACTCTAATCACAGCCCTGGCACTGAAGACTGCAAAGACGCCCACACACCCGTTTGCAGGTGAACTGATTCTCCACATGAGAACAGGCTGGGCAGGCCACATTCATCTCCATTTGTGGAATTAGTTTAAAAAATTAATGAATCTCAGCACACACTCTTTAGTGATACCTTCTCCTGGAGGTTAGATCCATAATCCTTACGCAGAAGCAATTATTAGCAGAAATGATTTTATTTATCAAGCTACACACACTCCCATCTCTGCAGAGGCGTTTACATAGTACAGACAGTTCAATTAAAATGCAATTATCCCACGGAACTGCTATGTCTGTTCTGAGGCAGTTATGTCTGATGGATGACACCAGGGCTGGGCAGTGGGGAACAGGGCATCTTGCAGGCATGCTGCTTCTCGTGGGGACTCATAAGCGGTGACCTATACAAGACTCAGGTTTCATGTCTCTAAAATGCAACTAGTACTTCTCACCTTTTAAATAAACTCATAAAGCCAAGAAGACAGTTAATAGGAATGAAAAAAAGAGAAGAAAACGAGGACTAAATCAGATGGTTATTGCCCATCTTTGTGACTATTAGGGGCAGTTCAAATATCATTTCATCCAAAGGCTTTCTTTTGCTCAAGCTAGGAAAGTTCTCTCTCTTCTCTATCTCACTCCTAACTTACAAATCATTTACTTTAAACTTTCATCATGGCCCTTAATATTTTGCAGTTTGTTTCAAATTATTTGCATAAATGTCTAGACTTCCCAAAGATGCTTGAGGGAAAAGAATTCTTATCATTCTAGATCAGGGTCAGGCCCAGGACGGTGCTGCACACATAACAGGCACTGAAATGTTTGAGCTGAATGGGTTCGAGCCTGGGGATGGGGGTTGGGTTAATGCTTTCTTTAGAAAGAATATTTTCAGTAGAGTTTCTCTCTCTAAACTGTAAACTTTCTAAGGTCACGGACCAGCTCTTCTGTTCACTCTGCACCCTCAGCACCCAGCATAGAGCCTGGCACACTGTAAACACTCAAAACACACGTGTTTGTATGAATGAATGAATGAATGAAGATAAATCAGGAGTAGAAACGATATTACAAAGTAAGGCAGATGAGGCTATGTGGTGGGTTTGTTGCAGAATTTTGACCAGGAAGGGGAAGGCTAGAATGATAGCTTGAAAGAGCAGTAAGTTTGGTTGCTTTGATTGGTGATGATTTTTTAGCAAAGCAAGCTAGCCTGTTTATAGGCACTAGGGAAGACGTCTGCTCTTCCTGTGGCTATGGGTTCCTCTAGGTGTTCTTACTGTGTGAAGCACTGTTGTGGCAAACAGGCAGTAATACTGAGATAAGGAGGCATGGGTATTGCTGTATGAACAATGCACCAGCTGTCCCCTGGCGGGGAGAGGTGGCTGCCACTCTGAGCAACAGCTGGGAACCGCTCCCTTAACTGCACTTGGACTGGAGCTTAGATTGCTTTCTGTGGCATTACAACAAATGGCACTCCTCATTATGAGACAGATTTGATCATGTATGCATGGGTTCTCATGCCCCTGAAGTTACAGTATTTACTTGCAGCCTCCAATGAAGATGGCAGCTTCCCCTCTCAGTACTGGCATTATAAAGAGCCTCCACCGGACTAGACACCTGCAGTTTTGATTTCTCAGTCACACCAGCTCATGATTTCAGAAATCTGAATCCTTGTAATTTGTCAAAAAGCACAGAAGCTGAGTATTGATATTTAGACTCTAGAGGCTTCATTCATTTGATTTCCATAGAGAAAAATCTAGGCACTTCTCCCTTTAAAAGGTTTTTTTTTTGTTGGTTTTTTTTAAAATCAAAGCTGTAGGTTCGATTGAGACTAACTGTCTCATTGTGGCAGAACCTGGCTCGGTCATATACATGCTCAGGAGCAGAGAAAACACCAGAAAACCTTTCATGACCTTGATCCCTCCAGGCGGATGAGACTGTTCCTTCTCTGAGCTGGCGTCAGAAAACAGGCTTACCATACACTCCTCTCTGGTTTTCACTCATTTTATTTCCATTCACAAGCTCCCAGAAACCACTCTGCTGGACCGTCAACTCCTTGAGAGAAAATCTGTAGGCATTCATTACATTTTTCTTGATTTGAAAACAAATAGAATGGTGTCAGGTTGATTTTTATCTGTAATTTGTCTGAAGATCAGAGAAGGCTCTGATGGGTGGTGATATTTTAATAAGAAATCTCCTCTACTACTGGCCCAAATCCAGCGTTTTTTTTTGGAAAATGACTTTTTCCCTGATGATGTTTCAGCTTAGGGTTGATGGATGATTTATTTCTCCTTTCAAGTCTGGTCCAAGTCCTTTGGTTGGTGTGGCTCTTCCTACTTTGGCTCCTCTAATTTATTAGCCTTGCCAGCTTTGATTTTTTTACTGGACAGGGAATACTGGGATATTCATTTTGATGCCAAACTATAATTTCATAAATTCTTATAGTTAAAAGATTTGAGCTGATATGTTTGACCCAATTAAGGCTTCAACTATTTTTCAGCTAATGTCCCTTTTACAGCCAAATCCAACTTGTAAAATTTGCAGAAGAAGTCTCTGAGGCAGATACCCATGGATATAGCCTTGTTCTTCCTGTCCTATCTTAAGTAAGGAAGGCTGTTTATGGAGAATGGAACAGCTGCCAGATTCCACCCCCAGGGTGACAGCAGCTCAGTTGTGGGAGAAGTGATGCTTAAAATTTGCATATTCTCTGTATACATACAGTAGGCATATATATAGACACACATATCCTTATTAGTTTGAAAAGTGACATTTCAAAACCCTACTTGCCTACTCAATTCTTTGCCAAGAATGATGAGTGAAGTCCAGGTAGATGTGAAAATAAAATAGATTCGAGCCAGGGAAGAATTGATATGGAAAGACCAGGTAAGATGTAATTTCACTAATCAAGTGAGAGGTGACGGCAGCAGTGACTAGGATTGTTGAGTAGAGATGGAGGACAGTAAGCCAATTCAAGGTTATTCTGAGGTCCAGTCTGAAGGACTTGCTGACCCATTGGATGAGAGAAGTGAAGGAGAGAAAGAGCTGAGGAGGAAGTCCCTGCTTCTGGTTTGGGCTACTAGATGGACAATGGTGCCATCCACTGAAATATGAAATGTGAGAGTGGGTTTGAAGGTGAAAAACAGTAGATTAATTCCATTTTCTAGATAGAGGTTGACTTTGAAATAGCTGTAAGACATCCAGGTGGAGATGTTTCAAAAGCAGTTAGATATATGGGACCGAGGAGCAGGAGAGAGGTTGGAGATACAGACTGGCAGTCATAGGCATATAGAGGATGACTGATGCTGTGGACTGGATAAGATTTCCTAGGGAGAGGACCCTGGACAAAACAGAAGCACCAACATCTGGGGGATGTGCAGAGAAAAAACAGCCAGCCAATAGTGAACTAGGGAGGAAAAACTACAAAGTACAGTGTTGAGGAAGACAAAGAAAGCTGAGTGCATCAGAGGTGGCAAATGCTTTTGAGAAGTCAAAGGAGGCAAGCTTTGAGAAGTATCCATTAGATTTAACAATAAGGTGATCTTGGCAAGAGCTGGTCTTCGGAGTGGTGAAAGCAATAGCAAGATGGAAGGTAGCCGAAGAGTTGGTGAGAGCAGAGGAAATGGAGACAGTATTCAAAACTCTTTCAAGACGTTCACCTGTGAAAAGGAGAAAATGGATAGGGAAGCAGCACCAGCGGACTGTAGGGTTTTTGCAAATTGTTGTCGTGTTTTAATGGAAGAGAACTGAGCATGTTCTGAATGCTGATAGGAAGGAGTCACTCAAGAAGGAAAGGCTGGAGATGAGAGGTGGGAATGGAGTGGCGTGTGGAGATTTAATAATGAAAGATTCTTGACAAAGCTGAAGGGGATGGATCCAGCGCAGGGCAGGAGGAGACGATCTTTCATTGTAAGAGGTAACAAACAGCTCCTATGAAGAACAGGAGAAGGAATCACGGTGCCTCTTATCTCTCTCCCATTCAGTAACTAACTGGCTATACTATACATAGCTCATCAAAGATGCCTTTTCAACTGCGCAGAGTGTTCAAAAGTGTACATTGTGTACAAATGTAATCTGAAAAATTACTGTTGCTAGATGATTACCCTAAAATTGAAGTAGCATCGAAATATAAAATAGGCTAAATTTACATCTTTACAAATCAGCATTTCTTAACACGTAATATTCTTTAAAGAACATTCTATATGGAACATTGGCTTAAGCCACCTTTCTTACAGGAGAAATAGCCAAACACCATCAATAATTCTGGCCATGGGACCGTGAGGACAGAAATGTGCTGGATTAGGATCATGAAGAACTCTGTCCTGACTCAACGAGCCAGATAAAGATATCAAGGGCCATACTCGCTGTGGCCAACCTGTGTGGCTGTGTATCCTCCCCTTTCTCCTTGCTAACAGAATCCTGACTGTGTTCATTTCCACGGTGAACAGGTATTGTGGCCTAAGAGATGAGTCCTGGTTGGTCCAAGCCAATCTGGTTTCGGAATGGGGACGGGACACAGTTGTTGCCGATAAAACCACATGGAGAAGTCTGCTGGAAGGGGAAGAGGCTTCTGGAAAAGTTTTCCTCACTCTTGAGAAAAGGAGCACATGGAAAAAGCATATCTTGTCCATCTCTGGATGTACTTGGCACCTGGAACAATGGCAATCACCACGGAATCAGGAGGGGAGCCAACTCAGGAGAACAGAGGATGCGCTCAGGATGCCAGAACCAAAGATGGGAAGAACAATGTCATTCAGCGATGTCACCTGAACTGTCCCACTAACCAACCCCAGAACTACCTCACCTTGGGATTTCTTGCTACGTACGTGGAGTAACACTTTTTTTTTTCTTCTATTTTTCAAGCCACTTCTAATGGTAGTGGGTTAGTATGGCAGGATGGAGCCAAAATGACTGAACGGCAACAAGCAGGAACTGGGAAAAGGTTAAAAACGGGAGAGAAGAAGTATTTGCCATTCTATGAATGAGTCATTTTATTATAAGAATCCATTAAACAAAAAGTAAGGGGGAAAAGGGTTCTGGTGGGAAGGGAGGAAAAAGAAGACTGGAAAAGGAAGGGAAGCTGCAAATAGAGGATGAGACATGTCCTATTCATGTCTCCTTTGCCCACTGCATCCTTCAGGTAAATGGACTATATTGTCTTTGTCTCTCTAATTCCTGGCATGTCCTTGATCATTAACTTTTACTTCTCAGTCTGTGACTCATTGCCAATCTCAGACATCAGAATTCTACTAATAGTTCCAGAGAAAGAAAAAAAAAACCACGAATACCAATTACTCACTGAGGATATCCACTCCTTCCACGGTGGGGCACTGACAGTTCATTAAATGAGTTAGTGATTCTTCCCCACTCCCCACTGAAGGTCATCCAGATACCTCCAGGGGAGAAATGTCTGTTTTACCAACCCCAGTGGCTCATCCTCATCTAGAGGTTTAAAGATCACCTCCTAAATATACTACACACACAGTTCTAACCTTTACTGCTCTGGACTCCTGTTCAGATGCCTCCAGGAAAGCCACTTTTTAACATCCTTATACTCCTCTTCCCCTGCCAATAACCATGAACTCATCATGCCCTAAATGGGGCTAAACTCCATCCAAATAAACTCTCCTTACCAGTCATTTCATTTCTGTCTAGGATATGCACCGCTAGACAACTTGGACTCATCTCAAAGCCTCTGAAAGTCTAAGTCCTTGCTCTTTCAAAGTATCTCTCAGATTTACCACTCATTTCACCTCCCATTGTTTCTGTCAAAACCGAGATGCTCACATGTGCCACCTGAACCACTTCAGTCACACCTCAGCTCATGGGCTCTGTTCCCACTCTCTCCCACTTACCACCGGCCTTGTCACCGTGTCCCCTCTCCACCCAGGAATCTGCCTGTGGTGGCTCTCATTTGGTGTCCCAGCTCTTCTGGAGGGTTTTCAAGGCCCCTCCCCCAAAATCTGGCTCCACCGTCTTCTCCACTGTCTTCCCGTCAGACAGACAAGCTGGGCACTGTCACACCCACACACTGTTCTCCTGGCTCCGGGCTGGCCTGTGTGTGTCTCTGCTGCTCATTCCTTCACGTTCCTCTAGGCCCAGCTCAAATCTCACCTCTCCCCTGAAGACTCTGAAACCATTCGAACTCTTTCTTCTGTAAACTCACACTGCCATACGCTTTAGCATCTAATTGTCCTAATAAAGGTCTATTCTCTCTCCCCGGTTGGGACATACTGCTTGATAGACAAACCATGTCCTACACTTCTAAGTGTTACTCACGGTACCTGTTACAGCCCTGAGCACCAGGTAGGGAAGACAAAACTATTTATTTAACTGAATGATCAACATTCAAGGGGCACCTTGCCTCTCTTCTTATCATTTTGGTTACTGAGGAGCCTGGGAAGAAAGCAAGGGGCAGCTGTGTCCTACAGCTCTTGGAAAGCCTGGTATGCCTTTCAGGAGATATCTGGTCCATCTCCAGAGTGCGGAGAATCATTGTCCAAAGAAACATCACTGAGCTGATAGTTCTTAACAGCAAGGAACCAGAGTGGAAGCCGGGCAGGAGCGAGGGGCAAGGCAGTCTGGAACGACATTTACCACTGTGGCTTCCTCCAGTGGAGTCACTTGGTGCCAGGGGAGGTGGATGTGGCTTGTCCATCAGCATGCCAGATGAGGGGGCTCCTCCCAGGGGGACAGAGGGGATGGAGTAGGGGCCGGGGACACCGGAGACAGAGGGAGGGTACCCGGCCTTTGCTGCTTTCCCTGCTTCATACACTGTGGAGGGAGATGAAGAGCAAGAGAGATTACATCGTCCCACCCTCCACAACCCTCATGCCAAAAATCCCTGAGGATGAGCTGAAGGGAGCTCCTGGATGCATGGATGTGTGTGTGTGTGTGTGTTCTACTAGGACTGAATGGATTCATCAGAACCATCCTCCCCCACTCTCTTGGACTCCTCCAACTCTGCCAAAAGGCGATGACATAAGGCATTACAGTGTTCAGTAGTACCTGGCAACTGAGTAATTCAGTGGTGCTGGGAGCTGTCACAGCAGCCCACTGTCAACCACGCTGTCTGTAGGCTGCCTCAGCCCCTCTGGAGGAGGCCCAGCACCAGGGCTGCCTGGGGCTGCTTCCAGGAGGATCCTGAGCCTCTTCTAGATAGGCAAAGCCAGCAATGGGTTCGCACATGGCCCAGCTCTGTGAGCTCAAGCAGAGCAAGGGACCTGACTCCTCCTGGAAGCTGCTTTGTCCCTAAGGATACTAAAGATGCACGTTGTCTCTCTCTCCTTCAAGGTGTGTTTGGTTTATGGCTGGGGTGCCAACCTTAATGCCTACATGGGCTTGGCCAGGAAGGTAGAATTGTGAGTCCCCAAATGAGGACCCATTCCTGTGTGGACCATTTTATCACAGGAGTAAATACAACTTATCTGTGGCTGAATGGGACCCAAAGGCTGCAGACTGCAGACTGCACACACAGTTGGTAAAAAGAGGAGCTCTCTGCACTCTAGAGGCATGACCAGAGAAGGTTTCCTCCAGTTTGGATGCCCGAGGAGAGGGCAAAAGCCTCACCCCACAGCCTCACCATCCTGAACCTGCCCTTCCTTTCATCCATAGGGTCGATGGGAATTCCAAATGTGGGGGTGAGAGGTGGAGATAAAAAGCATGGATGGTGCATGGAGGTGAGAAGGAGAACAAGAATGGTCATCTCGGGAAGCTGGGGGCTCCCAGCAGAGGAGAGTCTGGAACAATCAGCTGGTAGGGTGGAAGGGATGGCGGTGGAGAAGGCACTCGGGGTGCACAGCTGTCTGATGGAAAGGCAACATCTCTTCCGGTCGCCCTGCGTCCCCGCTCGTGGCTTTACTCACAGGCCTGTGGGCAGCAGCAGGAATCCGGGCAGCACGGGCAGCGGATATAGCAGCAGCAGCTGTGCGGGCAGCACTGGCACCAGCAGATCCCCACCAGGACGAAGAAGAGGAAGACTGCCAGGATCACCAGGCCGACAAACACCCACTCTGGAAGGACGCACAGACAAAGCCACACTCGAGGCGGCCCCTGCCGGGACAGGCACCCTCTCGGCAGTGTCTCCCTGTGCAAGGAGAGGGTGGGAGGGACCTGGGGGAAGAAAGCATCTCATAACAGGGCACAGAGCCCTGCAGACTCAGGAGCTCAGGAGGAAGTCGGAGAGTGAGAAGCGCAGAGCCTCCCCGGGCCGGGCGGGGAGAGGAGGGAAGGTCACTGCAGTTGTACTGAGCACACAGAGTGCCTGGTACAACGTGAGGGGGGAGTTTCAGGGTCCCTTCCTGGGGAGAGGGCTTTACCTTATGGATTGTAGTGTCAGAACAAGTAGGGGCCAGGAGCAGAGAGACTCCTGGCTGGGGAGAGGGGGATCTTTGCTTGCTGAGCTATCCAGTGGTGGTTCTGTGAATACATTATCTTTCAGAGTCAAGTTAATCACGTCACTAAAAGTGTAAGTCTTGAGAAAAAAAAGTTCTCTATGTCTGTGTGATCTAAATCAAAACATATTTAGGTAGTCCAAGTCCCTAACCACCCCTGTGACACCTTTTCTGTCCTCAGCATCAGGGCTGAGATCAAAATGTTTGCTAGAGAAAACTAGAGGCACAGGCTAGGAAAGAGAAGATGCTGTCCCTGTGCCCTGAGAATGGTTTGGTTTGACCACACTTGGGCTGACCGTCTAGATGGCCCGCACAACCACAGACTAAAGAGGCTCGGGGCTGTGATGGCTGGCAAGGCCGACATGTGTCTATCTGACCATGTGTGTTAATTTCTGCCATTTTCACAGCTCGGCCAGAGGCAGAACATGAATTCTAATTCGTTTGCCCACCCAAAAGATCATGAGAAAGGAAACCAATTCCGTGTGGCTTAGATAAACATGACTGTGGCCCTTGAGTGACTTGTCTTGATGTCATGCTTTTGGGACTTGGCTGTAGGACCCAGTGTCCCACTGGAGGCCTGGGACAGACTGGAGTGAGCCATGATTCCCTTTCAAAGCAAAAGATTAAAGGAACTCATTTTGATTGAAAGCTGCCTACCAAACTCCCTTTGCAATCAACTTCAAGTACCCATTGTTTTGTTTGAATTTTAGTTCTTAAATGTTCCTTCAATTAAATGGACATGCAGTTGGAGCTTGGGAATATGACATTTTTGTTATATGAAGGGTTTTGCGTTAATAATAATATTATTTGACCTTTATTTAGAACATAATTTCCTCAGAGAGAAAATGAACAACTTACATTTCCTGAACATCCCTCCTCACTCATCCATCAGAAATACCTTCAGATTAACCAGGTCACCCTTTCTTTAGGGAGAAAGTGAGAAGGCCTTATGACTGGCTAGAATGTTCTGGAGAGCATTCTTGCGGATGACAGTAGATAGTTGAGGGCTCTGGCCTGGGCCTTAGCAATAACATAGTAACACAATGTGGCCTGAGGTAGACATGGCCCTGGGGATTAGATGAGCTGGGTGGTGTGGTGGCTACAACTTGGATCAGGCAGTCAAGGTTTAAAGACTAGCAGGTCACCTTGGAGAAACAAACAATGTTACCCATGAAAGGATTCTTGGAATCAAAGGGGAGGGAAATTCAGGCAACCAGGACCAGATATGAAAAATACAGTAACTCTTTCTTGGGACTGGGAGATACAACATCTAGTTTGAAACGGTGGAGTATAACATTGTTTTTCTTTGTGATGAACAAATGGGTACAAAACTGACATAACTCTGGATAAGGAGGATCACAAAGAAATATCTATTTGTGTCCTTGGGCTCGGCATCAAGAAGAATGTCTATTTGGGCTGGCCAGCTAATGGGAAAGGACCAGGAGAATTCATGGAAGAAAAATTAGTGAAGCTCAACTGGGAAGACTCTGGATGTTTCTTAAAACTTGAACCAAGTCAAAACCAATGGTCAGGAATATTTTGTATGTCTCTGTTGCTCTTAACCATTATGCAGCTCTTAACCCTTTGGGGAAGCCCTCCAAGGCAGGACTGAATCATACCCTCTCCTACTCCCTGAGTTTGGATATGTTCTCTCCCATAGTTCATTCTTCTTTCTCTCTGAGCCTCCATCCATGATGGGCTATAGTGCCTCGTCAAATTGATGTTGGCTTATCTAGCTGGCACATTCAGCAGAAGCTACATGAGAAGACAGAGGTGTGCATTTGGCACAGGTGTCCCTGACATGTGGTCCACGGACCCCAGGGACTTAGGGGGGCCAAGAAGCCCCCGAAGTTGTGTACAAAGCAATGTAGATCTGTACACGTGTACTTTCCAAGAGAGGAGGGCTGCAGAGCTTTCATAAGGTTTGAAAAAAATTGTTTTGATAAAATTATAAAAAGGCAACGCAGAGTCCCATGGTTGTACACTAATAAATGGGTAAACATAAAACTTAGGGAATAAGGAATGCAGACATATAATGACTCCATTAAGGATACTTATAGCGACCTGCTGAGATACTGAGATTACCAAAGGGCCTTCATACCTGACATTGAAGGACTGGGTCCCCATTTAATTACCATTATAATGACTCCATTAAGGATACTTATAGCGACCTGCTGAGATACTGAGATTACCAAAGGGCCTTCATACCTGACATTGAAGGACTGGGTCCCTATTTAATTACCATTATTTTTTAGGGCCTAGTAACGGAAGAAATACAATTTGAAGCCTCCTCTAATGGGCTTAGTTCACCCTGGAGAACACCACAGACATATACAGACGAATGTGCCAATACGTTAAAGGGGCAATTAGTAACTAATGCAGAAGCGAGACAGATGGAGTGATAGCACATTGAGCAAATATAGAGTTAAATGACTGAATACCTGGCATAATCTCCACAGCAAAACTGGGCAAGAGATCAGCAAGCAGCCCTGTCCTGCCTGGAGGAGGTGGAAGGAAAAGAAGAAGGAAAGCGGTTACTCCAGAGGAAAACACAGCCTGAAGCCTGGCTCCGATTGGCACCACCCTACATGGTGGGGCCACTGACCCGTGGTCCTTGTGGTAGGAGAGACACATCGCCAAGGCTGGTCTCAGTCAAGAGAATGACCTTCTCCGTCAATCTGTGGCAGCCATCGAAGTGAGCTCGGCACCTAAACTAGGCAGAAGCAGAAAGAGAACTTCCTCTCCAGCTATTACAGGAGGAGGAATTGTCTGCTTCAAATATGAACAACCCTGCCAGAGCAGACTGATAGATACCATCTCCACTCATTTATATATCCTACTCCACACGTTTTATTGGAAAGTCAAACCCGTCTGTATCCAAACGTTCAACCTACATTTTCATACACCCAGCCACAGTCCTATGTCCATATAAAAACAAAAAGTACATATTTGGTTTTAAGTCGGAATTATCTCCCTACAAGATTCTATTTATAGCCTAAAGATATTTCAATGATTAAAGTTTTCAAAGGCAAGGAAAAGATAAAGCTAGATCAGTTACACCCTCTTCGACACTCCTTCTGGCTTCAGAAATACTCTGTACATATGTATATGGTATGGCTTTTCCATATGGTACCCACAGCTGGTGTGGAATGGACCCAAGTGCCTTCTGCATGATATGGCATAGAGACTTGAGGGCTGGTGTCAGAACAGGTGCCCCTCGGGGCTCTGAGAAGCAAAGAGCTGTGCAGGAAACAAAACACTGGAAAATGTTTCGGGAGGAGGTTTAATCCTTTTAAAAACCAGCCTGATTGATATAGAAAGAAGTGCTGAAGGCTTCCACCATGTCCTCATATCCAGGTAAATGTAAAGGCCGTGATGGGTTGTCTGCCCCCTACCAGGTACCTCGGCCACAGTGCAGCCTTGCTGGTAAACAAGTTGTACCAGGAAGCAATTAGCAACCAGCCCTCCTTCCGGACTTATGATGGCAAAAGGTCACTGTGTTCTTAAGCTTGCAACTGAATTTTACTTCATTCGTGGTCATGACATACGCTTCTAGAACAGCTCTGGCTGGTAGAAATATAATGTGATCCAACAGTAATTTTAGCTTTTCTAGTAAACACATTAAAATAGTTTGTCAAAGATGAAAATAACTTGGTATTTTTTACTTATACCAATTTAGCCAAAATATTAACACTTCAAAGGTTCAGTGGCCATAGGTCACTATCAGAAAATATAACTCCTAGGGGCTTGTTCCATGCATATAGATTTGGCTCATTTAGAAAACAATTTTTCCTAACAACAAGGTCCTACTGTACAGCACAGGGAACTCTATTCACTATCTTGTAACAACCTATAATGAAAAAGAATATGAAAAGGAATATATGCACGCATAACTGAATCAGTATGCTGTACTCCAGAAATTATGCAGTGTAAACCACCTAGACTTCAACATAAAATAAAATTTGAAAACAAACAAACAAACAAACAAACAACTTTTCCTGTTGAAGTTTGTTGAGGCGCATCAGAGAAAAAGTTACCTAATTACATGGTTTATATTTTGGGTCTAAAGGTGATGGTTGGTCACTGGTCCTCTCCTCTGTCCAACCACCCCACGGAAAAGCAGCTCTGACAAATGTCGAAGAAAAAGGAGCTCTTCCAGGACACTGTGGGGAGGACGCGGCAGCAGGGGCAAGGTGTTAGGGAGTCGGGTAAAAGGGCTCTTTGCTCACTTTACTTTTTCTTGGCTCAGCTATACAAGACCCGTGTGGTGTAAGGCGTCCGGGTCCTGTGTCCTGCATGGGAAATAGTCCCGCAGTTGAAATGCTAGTTGGGACATTCCAAGGGAAAGGAAGCATGGAGTGGGCCACTGGGCTCGCTCTGTTTTAGGTTTCGGCAAGAAGGGCTTCCTTCTTTCTGTCTTCCATCTCGTGCAACTGACATGGTAAGAGGGGTCTGCTGTTGCAAGGTCTCTGGGAAAGACAAGTGGGAGTCAAGCGGGTCATTGGAAGAAGACAGCCTGAAGGAGAGTTCTTGGGCTAGCTGTTGGCCTAAGCTTCAACAAAAGGCTAAGAGGTGACTCTAAAATGTATGCATGGTCTAGTCCAGTTCCCTGGGATTGGAAACCAGACAGGGATTTGGGGCCAAAGTCCAAGCAAGTGATTAAGAGCTTGCACTGGTCTCACGTGGAGTGTTCTCTGTACAAATATCTCTTGGAGACTCAACAAGGCAACAGTCAGGTGGTCAAGGATTTGGGAATTTAGGATTGTGGGCATCTCTTAAAAGCATAATTAATATTAATTACCAGCCAGTAGGCAATGATCAGGAAGTCAACAGACTTGTGTTTTTAACAAGCTGGTTATCAGATGCTTACTTAATGGTGTTTTTTTTTTTTAATCTGGGTAATTAGCATTTCTAAATAGCTCTCTTATTATATCAAGTAAAATGAGAAGCTTTTCTTGGGTTTACTCTCTAGTTCTCAAGCTTACCAATGTTTTAAACATCTCTATATGTGCTGTAGCCCAAATCATTCATTACATTTATAATAAAAATGTTATTGATGATATCAGCCACTGATTTGTATATACTTTCTCACAGGAGACTAGCTCTGTGTTAATCATTAATTATTTTAAAAAAATCCATTCAAGGAGGATACAGTGCTCACATATTACACATTCTACTGGAGAAAGCAGTGGACTAGGAGTCAGGGTACTGAAGGCAGCTTTGCCATTAGTTTACTTGGGGACTGTTGCAGGCAAGTTACTTCCTCTTTCCAGGACTCAATTTTCTCATCAGTCAAGTGAAGTGGTTGAACAAAGAGGTCTATAAATAAGGAGACCATATATCTTGGCTTGTCTAGAACAGTCCTGGCTTATGCCTGTTGTCCTGGTGTAATTATTAATAGCACCCCTTTTTAATTTCAAAATTGTTCTCATTTGGACAATTATTTATATGGTCACCTGATTGATAACATTTTTAGTTCTCAAATCCCTTACTTAGTGATTAGCATTGTGAACTCAATTCTATATATTTATGGGGACCAGTAGGTAATGCAGACAAGGGCAGCTGGCCAAATGTCATACAACGGGAACAGTCGGGAGTGTGGCAAACGGCAGGCTGTTTCCATAGCGGCTGCTACTACCCACCTCAAGCCAATTGTTGTCTCTCAGGAATGTGTCGTCTGGGTTGCAAATCTTCCTATTTTTCAAGATAAGCCAAACCCCAGATTTTTTCTGTGAAGTATCCTGATTTTCAAATGTTGGCAACCCATTCATATGTTTTTTAAAAGTCACCGGACAAGCCGTACAAAATACATTTGGGGGCTGTACAGAGCCCAGGGATCACATGCTTGCCACCTCTGAAGGGTATATACACACAGATACGATTATGAATAGATGTAACACAAAGGTGGGATTTCCCCACGGGCTGTGAAGTCACCTCGATGGTGTTCTGACACTGCTTCTACACACAGAATGTTAGTAAATATAAGCTCGTAGGCACCTATGTTCAAATCAGAATCTGAAAACAACAGTATTACACACCAAATTGTTAGCCCTTCGTATTTCTGGGGAGCTGGAATGGGCATGTGGAAAAGCAATGAAGGGGCTTATTTAGATTTTTTTTTTACATGTGTAATTCAGAACGTTAAAATAAGAAACTGGACAGGAGATTCACAAAGCTTGTCACTCCAACAGAAAGACATACATCAAGCTTCTCATTCTCCTAAAGCGACAGCCAATCGCTGATGTTTCAGAAGATGGTGAAGGCTTCCCACAATGCACCTGTGTAGTGTTAGCCCCGGGGTGGCGTGGGTGACAGACTTTTGCAGTAAAGTGGCTAAAATTAAATGTCTTCAAAATCGAGAACATAGTAGGAGTTTGGGGATAGCAGACAATATACCACTATGTTATGTCAACAGTAGAGAGACAGCAAAGCTCTCTGGCTTTTATACCATGACTTATATTTTCCTGGAGCTAAAGGCATTTTAAAAAGTGGACTTATGCTGGAATCCTCTATTTCTGAAAGTCATTTTGCTTCCAGCTTCTCGTTTTAACAGTTCCTAAGAACTGCTGTTGCCAGCTAGAAATGCTCTATCTTCTCTCCCTCTTCTATTCTGCTATGTCCAATGAAGGTCTGATCTTACAGAGTCCAAACAGTTGCAGTAAATACATTCCAGATTTCAGCAGCTCTTTACCAACACTTATGAATCACTGTCATTCTTCCAGGATTCATTTAAAGAGTGGCAATTACAAGTCACTTTAATGTCTAAGAAAAGGATGGAAAACAGACCCAGCAAATGGAAGACCACATTTACTCTTGTCAAACCCCAGCTCAGAATACAAGTAGAAAATACAGTTTTCATGTAAGCACTCAAACAGTTTTCCCCAAACCTTGCAAAATCCATTACTTTTAAGAAATTTCCACATGAATAGACCAAATGAATCAGGCATACTAATAGTTTGTATACACACACACACAAGTGCCAGTATCAAACCATGCCGTCACCAACTTCATAGCCAAAAACGTTCACGTACTTTGGGTTGAATGATGAGGGAAGAAAACAATCATTGTGAATAAAACAACTTCCAGATTTTACCTCTATAATTTCCCACTTCAGCTGTTTCTGCCATTGACACCTTGAAGTTATCCCCAACTGAACTCTTTGTGCATATTCCTGAGAACAAGCTCATTCCTGGAATGCCTCCAAGTCATTCATTCATCGTTTATTCATTCATTCAGTCAACAAAGAAATGTATACAGTGCCAAGTGCAGATACAGAGAACAAGACGTGATCCCTGTGCCTGAAAGCCTCAGGCTGGCCTGTGCAGCTTGCCCAACAGTGTGAGGATGAGAATTCAGTTTTAGTCATCTGCTTCTGTGTCACAAGGCTTATCAAACTCACAGGACCTTCTTTCTGCCAAATCCAATGTCTTCATCTTTTTTTTTTTTCATTTTTGACGTCAGGTTCCACTAAGTCATGAGGCCACCCCACCAGAGACAC